GGCTCTCCCAAGCAGCCAGAGAGCAGCAGCTGCAAGCCGGGAAGCAGCAGCAGCCACAGGGTGTGTGTGTGTGTGTTGGGAAGAGCGAGAGCACGACCGACCGACAGAAAGGACCCACGGGCCTCCATCTTAGCTTCAGGATCCAAGCAGGACCCGTCGCGTCCCCCTGGCAAGGTTGGATTCACCCCGGAGGGCCCCTCCTCGCCCCGGTCTCCCCTGAGATGACCCCAGGGATGCTGCCCGATCGCCGCCAGCTTCCAGCATCTCCGGCGACCGCCCACCAGCCCCGCTGCCAGAGGCCAAGGACTGCCCGTCGGTTTTAACACGTGGGCTTCTGTGCCCGAACAGAGGCGCTTCTGTTAGGTTTCCTGGCAGGCGGCAGAGCCCTGTGACTGCCACCTCCCTGGGATCGGGCTGAGGTGGAAGGAGCGCGCCAGCCGCCTCACCTTGCGGTTGTGTTCCTCCCTTTCTCGTGTCAACGTCCGTCTGTCTGTCTCCACATTGCAGCCCTGAGGAGAAGCCACACGAAAGCATCCTTGGATTTAAATTCACTCGCCCGGCGCCTGATTCTCGCTCCCATCTCTGAGCGCTGCAGGGCATTCAGGTTGAAGAGGACGGGCCTTGTCAGGCTCTCAGCAGGCAGCGGCGGCGGCAACTGAACTGGAAGGGGGAGCGGGCAGCGGTTCAACAGGTGGTGTGACAGCTCTCAGCAGCAGGCGGCTTGCTGAATTTCCCAGTTCATGCTGCCCTCGTCCGGGCTTTGACGCGAGAGAGCTGTCCAAGGGTCAGCGTTCATCCGGCACTGGGAGGATTGTTGCCTTGTCGGTCTCGCTGATTCAGCACCTCCGCCTCCAGCCTCTGGAGCAGCAGCACCCAATTGCCCGGGCACCAGGGCGGTCTGTAGGGACACGCCTCTGGGCGCGAAGGGCACCGTCTCGGTGGCACAGGCTCCGTCCTCAGACTCGTTCTTTTCCCCAGCCTGCACGTCGCTCTCGCTTTTTCCGGCAGCGATGCCAGGTGGAAGCTGGCGGGGACTCCTGGTGGTGTCCGTTTTGACTTTTGTGGGCTCCTGAGATGGCTTTTGGTCGAGGTGCCCCCCGAACCGCCCTGCCTTTCTCTTTTTTCCTCCCCTGATTGGGGCAGCCTCCTCCGAAGGACCTTTCCGGCCATTTGCAGCGATGGACCTCCTGCAGAAAAGCAAATACAACCATCTGCGTAATGACTCCCTCTCTTCCCTGGAAGATGGCTCGGTGGCGGCAGAGGGGGACTCCCCCGTCGAGCCCCTGGGGGCCACCCTGTCCCTCCCCAGCTCGCTGTCCTCGTCGTCGCTCAGCCCGATGCTGCCCCTCGGCGAACTCTCGTCCGAATCGGAGGACAGCCCCACCACCCTCTGCTCTTTCTTCCCCAAGATGGCCAACTTGAAGCTCGCCAACCCGGCCACCCTCCTCAGCCTTCGGGCCTTTTCCCGGGAGACGGGCGGATCTGGGGAGCCCCCGCCCGGGCCGGCACCACCACCACCGCCTCCTCCTCCTCCTCTTATTCTTCCTCCTGCTGCTCCTGCCTCTGCTCCGCTCCCAGACTCAGCCCGGACTCTCGGTCTCTGTTCCCAGGATATGAACAAGCTGAGCTGCGGCAAGAAGATGCGGGTGGAAGGTGGCCAGCTCGGCGGAGACGAGTGGACCCGCCACGGCAGCTTTGTCAACAAACCCAGCCGGGG